CGAAGCACTTGATGACGGACTCGGACTCGATGAAGACGGTGCAGACGTGGGGTTGCTCGGCGACGGCACTGGTGTTGCGTCGCTCGGCGTTGGGCTAGCCGTCGTGGGCGACGGGGCAGGCGACGTGGCAGGCGACGGCGTCGGGTTGCTGGACGTTGGGCTTGGTGGTGGGCTGTCCGTTGTCGGCGCCGGCACGGTGGTCTGGTCACTCGGTAGCGGGTTAGCTGTCGTGGGCGTTGGCGCGTCTGTCGTTGTCGCGTTGGTGGCGCTGGGTGTGGGCAGCAACGTCACGGGTGCTTCCGTCGGACCCAATGGCGTTGTCGTCACACTCGGCGCTGGGCTTGGCGGCGACGCAATCGGTGTCGGTGCTGTCGACGGGGCTTCTGTCGCGTTCGTCAGCACCGGCACGGGCGTGCTTGTCACGCCATCGATCGGCGCTGGCGTGAACAACGGTGCCGTCGTGTTGGCGTCGACCACGGGTGCGGGCGTGCTGCTGCTATTGTTGTCCAAGGGTGTTGGCGCAGTAGAGATCTGGGCATTCGCGACGGCTGCCGCGAAGGCGACGGCCGCGATACATGCCGAGGGGCGCATGTCAATCTCGTGATTTACTACCACGCAGCAAACCAAAAGTGTACAGTCGAGGTGGCCTCTGCCGAGCCATCTCATTGGGCTTCAATCCATGTGTGTCACGAGGTCCTTATTTTTATTGAAAAAACAAAAAGCACATACAAAAACAACGTCATACAATACCGCACGCCAACGTTCCGTGCCACCAGCATCGATCCAAGTGCAGATGGCAGTTCGATGAGAGCCAGGCGCCGACGACTGGCACGTGACCAGCGCCATCTCTTCTGCGCGTCGACGACTCTACTGATACTACTGATACCACGCTGACCGACTCTCGCATCCAAGGTCTGTGTTGGACGCTTACACCTCTTCGGACGCTACTATTAGCTTTGCGATCAGCTCTGCGAACTTTCGAGCGCAGCGATCGTCTGTCGCTTGTGCGCAATCAGTCCTTGGATGACATCGAGCACCCGCATCTGCGACGGGTTGAGCGCCTCGGGTGGCGCCTCATGACGACGTGGCGTCGGCTCAAAGTGAAGCTGCCGCCGCGCGAGCACGACGGGCGCTGCTACGCATTCGATAGGCCGCGACGAGACATACATAGCAGGCGTACGTGTGTGAAGCTTGTCCTTGGCGGGCGAAATGACATTCTTGCGCTTCGCCCGCGCCACGGGTTTCTCAAGCCGCTTGGCTTTCGGCGAACTGGGCGGTCGGCGCGCTTCCCGGTCCGGTACGCCGTTGGCGACCGCGAGACGGTCAAAGAGGCTGACGTACGTGGTGCTCTCCGTCGTCGTGGGCTTCTGGAGCGTCGCTTTCAGCTTGCTCGCGTGCGCCGACTTAAGCGCTGCTTGCGTTTGTTGCTGGGGCGGGATCCGCGCCGCGACGTACGCTCGCGGCTTGGCCATTTCGTGCTGCAAGTCGTCGACGTCGTCCTCGTCCGTGGGGATCGGTATCTACGGCATCGCACCCTGGTCAGCGATATCCGGAGATGCAATGTCCGACGAGGCGGGGACGTGGCAGTAGTCGAGGTGGCGCCACCGATCTCGCCAACGTTGTCGGTGCGCCTCGACTCGACGGCTGCATGCACTTGAACGTTTTCTTCGAGTCGTACAGGTGGGCTAATACAATAAGAGCTCACTTCGCGATCCACGCAGAAGGAGCCTATACCGTAGGTCGTACGCTCCTTGGAGACGCCGCGGGTGAGCTGCTGACAGCTCTGTCTACACGCAGCGTACTACACATCGTGCTCCTGCGACGGTCAGCCCACCTCTTGCCGTCGAGCATCGCCACGGACGGTAGCTAGAGCGCCGAATAGAGATCGTTATGCTTGAGGAGCCGTGTGTACCAAGTCGAGCACAAAGACGCGGTAGTCTCGGAGCGTCGCGACGGGGTTGCCCTGTGCACAATATTGTCATCTAAAAAAGACCCCTCGCACACCTCCAAGGCGAGCGTGCGCAGTGCCACGTTGAGCGAGAGACCGCGGATCGCATCCGGTCTACGGACGTCACGTCTCCGAAGCATGCGACGATCGATGCCTACGCTTCGATGATGTTGTCCGAGAGGTCGAGGTCGTGGAGCTGCTTGAGACCGTCGATGCCCCGCGAGTTGGTGAGCCTACACGCGCCAACTCCGTGCAGGCCCATGCGCGGGCGCCGTACCGGTTGCCTTGGAGTTTGAGCGTCTGGAGCGCCGAGCAGTAGACCAAGACGTCGACGTGGTCGAGCTTGTTGTAGCTCAGGTCGAGGACCCTATAAGCGATTGTCAAGCCAGCGTAGAAATACCGTAGAGGCACTACTGCAAATGCGCAAGACCGGCGACCGCTTGGATATCGCGGAGGCAGTTGAAGCCGACGTGAAGCTCCACGAGGTGGCTCTCGAGCGTCTTGTGGGGCAGCGCAGCTAGAGTACCCTCGATGCTTGGTGCGATTGATGTAATTGCTGTTGTACTCAGCTGGTTGCGGGAAAGGTCGAGGCGTCGCGCCGCGCGAAACCCTCCGAGTGCGCGCTCGCACGCCTCGGTCGTCAGATCGCGGTGCTGCAGAAGATGCTTAGCGCACGCTATAGCGTCAAGGACGTACCGAGAGGTTGCACACAGCGTCGTCGCAGGACGGCCGTAGCTTGGGCTTCTTGAGCATCTGCCACGTACTGGATACGATGCCGTATCCAAGCGTCGTTGCGATTGGTCGGTACTCGAAACGGCCGCCCCGTCGCGACCACTGCGACCGTCCGTCGCCTGGGCACTGGCGTCGGTAGCTTTACTGGCGTGGGCTACAAACCGCGAGCCGGCGGTGCACAAATCAGCCGAGGACATGAGCTCGACCACCGTGGAGGTCGCTGCGTCAACCGATAGTAGGAGCTAAATGTTCTATGGACGCTCTCTATTGTTCGAACGAGATAGATGGCGCGACGTTCGAGCGGCTCGTGGCGCGGCCTCGCTGCGGACCTTCAGGATGATGTCGCAGCGGCCAAGTACGAGAACCCATCAGAATCATCCAAGCTTATCAGTCGCGGTGGTGTAGAGTCGAGCTGCGGCGACTGCTGCAACGCAAGCTCGCTGTACGACCAACCGAGCTACGTGAGCCAGTACTAGTACCTGAGCTGCCTCGAGCAATCGCACCGCAGACTTCTGACAAGCCAGCAGATTCGCTCTGTCCGAGAAGCTGTCCGTGTCTGCCGCGTCACGAGCAGACCATGGTACACGCTCCTTTTGCGATCAAAGCGCATCAGCAAGGTAGGAGCGCCTCCAAGCCCTCGAAGACACCAATGCGATCATGGCCGCTCGCTGCGCCCAGCTGGGTACGATGGGAAATCCACGGGTTTCCTTAACACGGATGTACTAGACAACACGCTGGCCACGTGCGCGTCCGAACTCCGCTTGTCGTCGGAGAAGATGCAGCGCATCGAGTCCAAGTACGCAATAGAGCGACGGCGCAACGAGCTGCAAGTCCTCGCTATCCAAGTGCTCGAGGTGCATTTGCCACACAATGGAAATGGGACATCATCCCTCACCCAGGACGAATTGCGGACCCTGCAGTCCTCGACGAGCTACGAAGCAAGTCGTCTTGCGTAGCTTCTGCTCGTCGTACACGACCTCAGAATGTATTCCCTTATACACGACGGAGCTGTCGACCATAATGTGAGTCCGCCGACGACCAAGTGTTCTACTACATCCTTCGAGTCAAGAATCCATCGAGCATCATCCTTCCTTGACGTGCAGGCAGAGAAATATATCGAGAGAGACGACGTACGCGTTCCTCAACGCAGCGCCGTGTCGGCAGTAGGCAGTACTAGTAGGTAGTTTGGTAGCATCAGGGAGTAGAATGACCAAGTCGCGGTCCTAAATGCTCGAAAAGGAGTCTTCTGCGCCGTCGAGTGCACGAACAGTTAAAAACAAGGGAGACAGTGCATCTGGAAATAGGCGAAAGGCGGCTGAAACCGGCAGTCGCAAAACCGATCTCGTACTACGATGGTCGAAGCGCAGCCGGCGCGCCAAGCCGGCGGTGAGGACCCCGGGAAGGAGGCGCCGGACCGCCTCCGAGGCATCTTTGACGCGCCGACAACGACGGTCGACGGTGCCAAACGCACCACAAAGGACACGAACCACGTCGCCGACATGCTCGAGCAAGAGCTCAACGGCATGTCGGCCGACCAGATCGCCAAGATGGTGCAGAAGCGCCAGCACGTCTACGTCATATCGATGAACTCCACGTGGAAACGCTGGTGGGACGTGCTTGTCGCTGTCATGACCATGTACGTTGTCATCGTCACGCCGGTCCAAGTCGCGTTCGAGCTCAAAGACGGCTACACCGTTCTCGACGACCTGCAGGTGCAATGCACATCCATGTACCTTGCGACACCACCAATCGTCGTAGTATGTGGTCGATACGCTCTTCATTCTCGAGGTGCTCATGACCTTTCGGACGTCGTACGTGGACTCGGCGACGCGCGAAGAGATCAACGACGTCAAGATGATCCAGAAGCACTACTTGTACGGGTGGTTTCTCGCCGACGCCGCGAGCAGCTACCCTGTCTGTAGCATGATCGCATGACGTGACACGCTCACGCGGCGCTGTAGATTTCGTACTTTCCAGAGCAAGGGCCCAAAATACAATCGCTCAAATTTCTGCGCATCCTCAAGCTCTTTCGTGTGTTCCACCTCTCCAAGTCGCCGCTCTTCGCGTCCATGACCGCGTACGTCTCGCGCAAAATGAACCCGGCCGTGCTGCGTATGCTCAAGCTCGCGCTCATCTTCATTCTCTCGCAACACCTCATGGCGTGCGCCTACTACTGGCTCGTAACGTACGAAGGGATCAGCGATCGAACGTGGAAGCCGCCGTTCGCTTTCAACGACTCGCTCAGCGATCGCTACGTCGGCGCCTTCTACTTTGCCATCATGGTCACCACCGCCAACGATCTCGCGCCCGTCACCACGATCGAGCGCATCTTCACCAGCGTCATGCTGCTCATTGGTATTGGCATCAACGCGAGTATCATTGGCTCGGCCGCCAACTTGCTGGCCAACCTCGACAAGACGGAAGTGGCTCGCAAGGAGCATTTAGACTCGATCAACGACTATCTGCGCTTCAAGAAGGTGCCGCTGCCGCTCCAGGACAAGATCCGGCACTACTACGACTATGTGTGGACCGTTCGCCCCAGCGACAAGCAGAACCAGCTCTTTGTGGACCTCCCCGACCGCCTCAAGCTCCAGCTCACCTTGTCGCTGCACCGCGACTTTATCAACAAGGTCCCGCTCTTCAAAGCGCTGTCGCCGGGCGGCGCGATCGCGATCGTTCAGTGCATGGAGAGCGTCGTGGCCATGCCACACGACCTCGTCATCCGCGCCGGCGAGCAGGTCGCTTTCGAGCCCTTCCGAAAAAAGTCATCGATTCACGAAATTTGGGTTAGGGGGACGAATTTTACTTTATCAACTCGGGGTTTGTCGAAGTGGACATTTCGGTCAAGAACAGCAAGGTGCAGCTCGGCGTGCTCGGCGCGGGCTCGTACTTTGGCGAAATCGCGCTCCTCAACAACGAGCCGCGCTCGGCCAACGTGCGCGCGACGCTCTTCTGCGAGCTCGAGATGATCCGAAAAGACGACTTCAATGCGATTCTCCACAGCTTTCCGCAGTTCCACATTGCGCTCAAGAAGATTGCCGACTCGCGCCAGCAGACCACCATCAACATGCACAAGATGACCAAGCTCATGAAGTCGGATGGACCGCAAACCACCCAAACGTCGAGCGCGGGTCTTGGCGGCGACGGGCTTTTGGACAACGTCTTGAAGACGCTCAAGCTCAAGCGCGGCGCCAACAAGGTGGCGGCCGACGACGACGTCAAGCGCAAGGCCAACGCGATGTTTTTTGACACGATCCTCGGCGACGACTTCATCGTCAACATGTCCCAAGCCAAAGCCCGCCACATTACAAAGATGAAGCGCATCTCGGCCGACATGTTTGCAAGGAACCCGTCCTAGTCGACACTGCTTCGTGTTTCGTGTTGTCCCGTTCTCTGTCGTGATTAGTTATTAGACCTTGCCGGAAGCTATATAAGAAGACCCTTTTGCGATATTTCTACTGCAAATCTACCGTCGTCGAGGGCGTCGGGCGAGATGCAACGGTCACCCTCGTGCAGACACTACGATCGAGGAACTCGTCGTCGGCCAAGCGCATCGGCAAGACCAACCATGACGTGCACCTTCCTGGACGCTTGGTTGTCCAACGTGCAGGTGTACGTGGCGACGCACCCGAGCCCTACCCTATCCCTCGTTCGATCGGTCCAACACTGCATATCACGCTTTGCATTAACCCTTGCCACTGCAGCGCGAGAACGCATGCGATCAACATAGTGGAGACGCCGTCCGGCATGTGTATGTCTGCAGATTAAAAGTCGTCGTCGCCGTCGTCGTCGGCCGCTGCAGTCGCGGGCGGGTTGGGCGACGGTCCTTCCGGGTCGAGCCTACAACCACCGTTGTGATATCGAAAGGACAAAGGTGCGTACGCAAATAGGTCGAGCGTGATGCTGTCGAGCGCCATCTTTTGGCGGATCGCGCCTTCGGGCATGCCCAGCTTCATCATTGTAAAGTACCTACAAAGAGCGGATTGTGGATAATAGGACGAGGCAGAAAGGCGTACTTGGAGAACATCGGGTCGTCCTTAAGCTTCATGACGCCAGGTGCTGCGTCGGCAGCCTGCGTCGAAGGCGCACTCGGGGGTGCCATGCCAGGCGGCGGTGGCGGCGGGCCACTTTCGAACGGGGGCGGCGGTGGGGGGAACGCTGCTGCGGGGGGTGGCGGCGGCATGCCCATCGGAGGCTCCGAGGCGAGGAAGAGAGATGCTGGCGGGGGCTGGTCATGGTCATGGCCGTCATCCATCGGCGGCGGCGGCACCAGCGCCAACGTCATTTCGGTCGACGGTGGGTCCATGGGAACAAGGCTCGTGGCCGAATGGGCGACGGCCCTTGGGGTCCATGCTAGCGTAGTTTCGTACGCGTCAATTCATTCGTACGGCGCGCGTACCTGAGAATGCTAGGATCCACGCCGTCCATCTTCATCTTGTGCACGATAGCGCCCTCTGGAAGCCCCATGCGCTGCATCGAAAAGTATCTACACACGTGCATGGGATACCATCCTCGTGGGCCAAGGGGCCTTCCCACTTGGAAGTAGAAGCGGATTCGTCGCGCAGCTTTTAGTAGAGAAGACAAAAACTCCTCTCCTCGACGTCTGCCGGCGGTGGTGGCGGCGCCCCAGCGTCGGCCGACATGGGCATGGGCGGCGGTGGCGGCGGCGGCGCGCCCGGTCCGTCGGCGGGTGGCGCGGGCGGTGGCGGCGGCGGCACTGGCGCGTTGGCTACGTAATATCAAGAGGATGAGCGACAGCTGTCAAAAGGGCGCAGCGAGACCGGGCGTGGGCAGGTCGTCAGGAATATCGGCCGCCGAGATGGTGACGGTCGTCGGCAGGTCCGGAATGCTGTTGAGCTTCGCCTCGAGGATCGCGAGCGAGATCTCGAGGCGCGTAAGGTTCGTGGCGACGGTCGTCAGCCGCTCTTCGCAGAGGTTGGAGAAGTGGTTGAGGAAGCGGACCGTGTTGGTGCAAAAGTTGGTCAATAGCAGCAGCGACTTTTGCATCGGGATCGACGGCAGCTGCATGAGGTCAACAGGCGACTCTTCCTCGTCGAGCTCCTCCCTCTTGGACGAGGCGACGACGAGCGCTGTCTCGTCGGGCGGCGGCGGCGGCGGCGCGGACGGGACCAAGGACATGGACGCCAAGTTTGCTTTGACTGCGAATTGTATTACGTGTCACACCATACCGGCAAAGAGAATTGATTCTATTTCAGCCAATCGGAGCCGCCCAGCATTGCGATCTTGCCCTCCAGCGTGAGCTGCTGTGAAGCCAACGACCACTGCAACAACGTAGCACGCATCGCTGCCCATTCCACATTGCTGGACGATCAGTATGTGTCTGTCTACCCAGGTGAGAAGCTCTCCCTCGCAAGCCATGTACTCGGTGCGTATGTTCCTTGGCTTTACGCCCGGGAAAAGACATGCCTACTGGTTGCTGCCGTGTTTCAATAGACGTTAACGACGACAAGTGGCTAGCAGTATGGACGCATGGACGCAGGGCGACAGCTTACGCCAACAAGGCGCGAGATTATTGTCAGTCGAAGCAGTGAAGATCGAAGTCTCGTGAGTGTTGGTCTTCGAAGTCCGAAGTCGTGGCACACCAAGCGCCAAAATTACATCATGACAGGCAGCATGAGCCGTGTCATCGTCAAGGGCAAGGTCGGAGAGGCATGCATGGTCGGTGCATCGTAGCTCAGCAGGAACGGCATAGGCGGTCGTCGATCCTCTCTCCAAGATGGCCGAGTCGGGCACGGTGCTGCAGGTACTCGCTCGTCTTCGCACACTGGCCGTTCTATCGCTCGGCATAGGAGGCCGATGGCACGGTGTGGTCGGTCATGCTCACGCTCACCGACGTCTCGTTTGGCGTCAAAGGGTACTGCCGATTCCATTCGATAGGTTGTCGCTGACGAGCATATCTAGACACAACAAGTTTTACGCCATCCAAATCATTCTGCGCGATACGGCGGTGCACGAAGCGCATGTCTTCTTCAAGTGGGGCCGCATCGGCGCCAAGACGCCGCAGGTGCGACCCTTGCGCATCGACGACGTCATCGGAAGCCATTGGCGTAGCGCAAGCTCATGGGCCCCATGACGGTGGACGCGGCCAAAGCGCTCTTCACCGCCAAGTTTGAGCTCAAGACGGAGAACGCGTGGCCGCTCCATTCGGCAGCGTTCGAGCCCGTGCCCCACAAGTACACGCTCATCGGTGCGTACAATTAGTAGGATGTCAATGGCGCGTATCAATGGCAGCTAGAACTGGACTACACCGGCGACGACACCGACAACGCACCGACGACGACGACGGCGCCGGTTGTCGACGTGCCACCCTCGCGACTACCGCCGTCGGTCCAAGCCTTTGTCAAGGTTGAAATGGTTGGCATCGATTGTGGAGGCGACGCGAGGCGTGTAGATGATCTGCGACGTCGACTTGATCGCGCAAGAGATGGCCGAGATGCACTTGGATCTCAAACGCATGCCATTGGGTGGGTACCGGTAGTATGGAAGTCTGTAGAACCTCGCACTGATAGGTAAGCTCTCCAAGCACCAAATCGACAAGGGCTACGCGATTCTCGACCGCATCTCGGGGGTGCTGCAAGACATGGCCAGTCTCGAAGCCGAAAAGCCGACCGAGAACGACGACGACGCAGAGGAGGTGACGCGCTCGACGCGCCGTCGGTCAACGCGCAAGAAGGCACTGCCGACGAAGCTGCGCACGCAGCTCACCAAGTGCAAGGCGCAGCTGAAATCGCTTTCGAGCGAGTTTTACACAGTAAGACACCGTCTCCGATGCCGCCATCGACACGTTGTGTTGTCTAGCTCGTGCCGCACGACTTTGGGATGCACTTGCCGCCCGTGATCGACTCGATCTGGGAGCTCAAGCTCAAACTGGACCTCCTTGAAGTATGGACACCCTTTTTTGTGTTAATGTTGTCATTATTGTACTATGAATTAGGTGCTCTCGGACGTGGAGATTACGCAGAGAATGATCCGAGACAAGGCCGTCGTCGATATGAACCCCGTTGACGCCCACTACGCATCGCTGCACACGGAAATGGAAGAAGTCGACGCATCTTGCGACGAGTTCAAGCGCATTGCCGAGTACATTGCGCTCACGCACGCGCCAACGCACCGCCAGTACGCGCTCCGAGTCGACGCCATCCACCGCGTCCAACGGTACGCCGTGCCTTTCGCTTCCGCGTCGTCCTCAGCGTCGTCCTGCGTAGCGAGGCCGAGATGTCACACACGGCCCTCTTTGACGCCGTTGGCAACCACCAGGTGCGTCGTCGTCGTTGTCGCATCGCGTGGGCGAGACACCGCCCTAGCTTCTCTGGCATGGCTCGCGCCTCGCCAACATTGCGAGCATTCTGACCAAGGGCCTGCGCATTGCGCCGCCCGAGGCGCCGTCGACGGGCTACATGTTTGGAAAAGGGGTAGGGTCTAAACGTCGTGTCGTCGTATCGCATTTGAGCACGTCGGTGTAGGTGTACTTTGCCGACGTGGCGTCCAAGTCGGCCAACTATTGCTGGGCAACCGCGACGCAAACCAAGGTCCACAACATCACAAAGCGATGGCGGGTCGATGGCTCACGGCCTCGTAGGGTGTGCTTATGCTCGCCGAAGTGGCGCTCGGGAAGACCCATGACGTGCTCGAAGCGGAAGAGTTCAGCTACGACAAGGTCGAGCGCCTCGGGTGCGACTCGGTCTTTGGCATTGGCCGCATGACGCCGGCCACCGAGACCCACATCACGTAGTATACGACGCATGCTGGCTGCACTCGCTTGACCGACGTCCTAGCGATAATGGCGTGCGAATGCCCAAGGGTGAGCTCGAACCCACGGACGCCGACGGCTCGCTCCTCTACAACGAATACGTCGTCTACCGCACCGAGCAAGTACGCACGACGTGGCACTCTGGACTTGATACATTGATCTTTCTTTGCCACTAGGTGCGTATCCGCTACGTCGTAACCTTGCACTTTGACTTTACGACGGCATGAGCAGTTGACGCACGAGCGCATGCGTCGTGTCGGCCTTGCGCCCGTGGTGCCAGTGCTCAAACGACGCTGCCGTCGCTGTGCTCTCGACTTGCCTAGTGTAAATAGTACATACGCGTTCATATCATCTGCGCTCGCACGCACCGCGCCTCGATGTAGCGGCGCAGCACCGACATGCGACGTGGCGTGCGACGCTCGTTCGCACCGATTCCGCAGAGAGCGCTCAGACGGTGCAGCGAGGCGTCAATTTCGCTCGCGTAAATCGATAGCGTCGGCCTTGCACCGACACCGCTGCTTCGTGGGTTGGTGGGATGCATTGCCGTGCGCGCGCCCGCACTGCGATCGGGTCGCCGAGGCAATGGGTCTCTGTACGACGTGAACGCCATGGCGGGCGTCGTCTAGAATGAGTACCTCGAGGTCTCTACGCCATACAGGCAGTCGGCCCCGTGTGCCATTGTCCGTCGGTGGCCTTTCCGGGCGCGATCTTTCGAAGCTCGAAAGGTCCATCTTTTTTTCACTTGTCAATTGCTGCCATCCTCCGCATGAGGTGCGAGAACACGATTCGATCGAAGCTTATATGTGGGCGTAGCGTCGACGGCCCTGCGTACATGGTGCTGCCGCACGAGGCCGAGGCCATGGTCGAGCAACTGCGCGTTCTCGAGCTCGACGCGATGGGCGCTAGCGACTGGATGCGCTACCACGGCGACGTCGAGAAGCTCAACCTGCAGGCGCACCAGAGCGCCAAGCAAAAGGCCGACAACTTTGTCGTTGAAGCGCTTTTGACGTTCAAGAAACTCGATGTGCTCGTGCGGAATCTCCTCACGACCGAGCTCTGGGCCGATGACGTCTTCCCGCACGTCGCCGCCAGCGATGTCTCGGACGCCACGTCGCTGCGCACCTACTTTCTCGTTCGCATCGCTCGCCGGCCCTCTGTATCTCATGCGATGATGATAGCTGTACCACGAGGCCGTCGTGTGCAACCTCCTCGAAGTCGCCTTCTTCCACGAACACGTCTTTGAAGCCCTCGACGACGACAGCCTCGTCGAGGTGCTCGACTACGTCATGCGCAAGGTGACGTGGATTCTCTCGACGCCGCGCGACGTCTTCAAGACGCAGACCACGTTCCACAAGGCGGGCGCAGCGGTCGTCGCCGAGCTCAGCAGCGCGTCGCGCGCCGCCGAGCTGACGCGGCAGCGCCTCGAGCTCGGCTTTCGCATCGCAGTGCAATGCGTCACGATCCTTCGGTACTTTTGCGAGCGCGTGCACGTGCTGTCTTTGACGCTGCTGACGCGCCTGCTCGACAAGCACGACGTGCTCCTGTCGCTCGTGGCGCTCATTGAGAATCCGCCGTGGACATACAAGGACGGCGAGGGTCGCTGGAAAAAGTTCCACGACCAAAAGTGGGTCGTCGTGCCCGCCGCCGACTTGCTCGCGCTCACGACGACCGAGGCGCAGCCGTGGCTCGGAGTCTACTTCCTCACGTGCTCCAAAGTCTCGCGCGACCAGTACCAGCTCACATCGTTTCGCAAGTCGCAGCTCCTCCGCGTGCGCAAGTATCTCAACGATGTGCTCGTGGACCAGCTCCCGCTGCTCACCGACGTCCAGCGGTTTCTGGACGAGCTCGCGATCGTCAACCTGCCGTCGTCATCGCAGGTGATGAGCCAGACGCGGCTCGTCCTCGAGGCTGTCCCGATACTTCGCGCACAGCTCCAGCGGGCGTACAAAGGTCGGCACGAAGAGATAGCAGCGCACTTCCTCGCCGCGTGTCGCCAGTTGAGCCGACAGGATGACATGGCGTACTTGGCCGACGTGTACAACATGGACGGTCTCGACGACCTCCTCGACGACAAGATCGACGCGACAAAGAAGCCACAAGCGGTCGAGGTGCTGCCACCCGCGATGACGACGCCGACGCTGCGGGACAAGCCACGACGGGCAACGATCGCACTCGTCGTCAAGACGAATCCGTCCATCAAGATCGTCGAACTCGGAGCGCATGACGACGTGCACATGGACGCGACCGTCGACGCGAGCTCCGAGACACGTGTCGAGACGACGCACGGACCGTACTTTCGCTTCAACGTGGAGCAGGCGCCGACGAATGGCACGGCGGTGCCGTTGCACGCCGTCGTCGACGCCACGATCGAGCTTGCAACAGGCGCGAAAGTGCAACTGCATTGCGCCGACATCGGTCTGGAAACGCCAACCGAGGTGCCGTCGGCATGCTGGCGGCAGGCGGGCTCGCTCGACGACGGCCACGGCATCCTCCAAGTGCAGTTCAAGTGGGACAGTGCGCTTGACGCCTTTGTCGTGGGGTCGCTCTTTCTGTCGCTGCCGGCCGACAAGTAGCCGCGTGCCCATGCATGTATGTACATATCAATGTATCAACTTTAATCCAACCTCGATGCTACAGTCCACTTGACGACGAGAGGGTCGCAGGCTCAGGGGAAAGGCTGGCGCGGAAGGCCTTGGCGAGGATCGTGCAGTAGAGATCGACGTCGACAGCATAGCCCAGCGCATCGATCTTGCACTCGGTGGCGCAAATCCGTGTGATCGTAAACAGCGTCGGAGGAGGAACGAGCACGCGAAGGTCGAGGCCGCCACACTAGTCCACGTGATAGATTGATACATTGAAAGAAACCAACCTCGTAAAACCGCTCCACGCCAGGCAAGAGCGCCTGCGCGACTGCAAATCGGCTCTTGCGGCACTGCGTCGGCACATGGCACATGGTGTACGAAGCGACAACGTCCGCTGCTTTCGCACTCAACAGCGCGTCGAGCTTCGCGTTGGAGCTTCTTGGTTCGAGGGGCGTGACCTAACCCGCGGTCATGAGCCGACAATACACAATCATGCGGCTTACCGTCGGCAGCCACGCGGGCAGCTGCGGTAAAAGGTACCAGCTCGCAGCGGGCGTGCGTGAGTAGCTACCGCCGAGGCTGCTCTCGTCGCCAGCAAGTGTTACGACTTCGTATGCCTCGAGCTCCGTCGGTCGCAGCGTCAGGTGGCCGAAATGCGGACCCAGATACGACGCGTCAAAGTTATGCGCAAAGGTCATCGTGGTGCCGATGGAGCCATTCGAGAGATACGCCATGCGCTGCTCGATCGTCGAATGGGTGCTGAGCGACCCGACGACAAACTGGCGCACGCAGAAATGGCGCGCAACTGCGTCTTGCAAGACTGTGTCAAAGCCAAAGTGTTCGTGGCCACACACAAACACCACCTGTCTAAACACACGTCGACTGCGTAACGACGGTATCGCATTCGTACTTGGCGTCGTCCTTGCGATGCCACTGGGAAAGGACGTCGAGCAGCCGAAGGAGGTCGTCGGCGTGTCCCGGGAACGTGGCGCCATACGGACGCGTTTTGGCCTACAAATACGCTCAGGCTTCCGAATAGGATGCAGCGTACGAGTACCTTTTCACGGAGGTCCTCGACCGAGTCGTCGACCAATGGCTGGTCGCAGGCCACGACAAGCGTCGTCAGCGACGGCTGCGCCAGAAAAGCAGCCAGCGCCGACCAGCGCACGTCGATCGACTAGGCGTGCGCTCGCACATCGTTCGAACAGGAATCCTACGGTACCGTTTTGGGCCACACAAAGAGGCCAAAGGGGCCCCAGGCATGGCAGAAGGGGTAGGGTTTGACACTCGAGGCTGGCCAGAGCTGGAGCTGGTACTCGGATGCGATCGCTTTCAAGCGCACCGATAGCGCCGCAGTGTCCGCTGGCCGATCGGGCCGTGCGATACCCTCGGGCAGCTCGAGCACGTCGACTTCACTTGGCACCATGAGGTGCGCGCCGAGGGCCAGTGCATTCCTGCGTAGCACATTCCTCTCAACCCGACGCTGTCATCGCAACGATACCGCGTCGTCGGCAGCGTCCAGTGGTGACGGTAGACATTGCGCAGCTGCTCGTCGACGAGGTCGGTGTCGGCGGCGACGGGGTGCAGCATCGCGCGCGCCGCATCGACGCACGCATGCTCGCGCGGATAAATCTACGCGTTGATCATCCGAGACTCTGTATTGTCAGATCTCTCTCGTGCACCTGGCCGCCGAGGTGCAAGACGAGCGTGAGGGCGCTGAACGGCTCGGCGAGCGACGCCTCGAGGCTGCTCCAGAGCGTCGGCGGCAGCATGGACGTGTCGGGCGTCAATGGGAACGAGCGCAAGCGGTCGTGGCTCACAAGGGCCAAGTCAAACCGCGACGGGCGCTCGGCCGGCGTGGCAAAGTGGCAGAGCGTCGATGGCTCGGCGATCCCGAGAAACGTGACCTACGAGCGGTTGCTTCACACACTTCGTAGAGCAGAGTTGTCTCGCACGCTATAGTGTTGCTGCGGCGCGAGCTGCGTAAAGTGAAAGCTCTTTGGCCGCCGCGCCGGAAGCTTCTGCAGCAGCCGCTGGGTCGCGCCCGTGACGACGTTTGTGACCAGGCATGTCACCGACGCATCGCGATCGACCTCGAGAAGGATGACGCTTGAGAACGCATCGACGAGCCCGACAATGGGCCCCACGAGCACGCGCGCCGTCGACGCCATCTACGCCTTGCTTCATTCGACGCCAGCAAACGTGGTGCTACCTGACGATGCCGCGTCACGTGCAACGTCGGGTCACGATCCGCCGACGCCGTGAGCTGGCACAAAGCAAAGTTGGTCTCGAGCGGGCGCTCAATGGTGTGCGTCACAACGAACCGGTCGCCGAGTGCCGCGGAAAGGGCCGGTAGCGTCGTCGTCGACGGCGCCATCGTCATGGGTCCGACCACGTACTGCGGCATCGACGCGCGCATCGTCACGTCCGTCACCACCGACGCGATCGGCCAGCGCGTCGCACTCGCTCCAGACAAGAGCACGACGAGTCGGTTGGGCCGCTACCGAGATCATGATGCGGCCGATGCTGTCGCTGCGGAGACTACCTCAACTTTCCAGTCTGCAAGCAACGACAAGAGCCGGTGCTGGTCCTGCGGCCGGCGAGGTCACCAGGACGCACACGACGACGTTGGCTCGGATGCAAGCAGAGCCTGGACGCTCTCGCTATTCGCGTCGGCAATGGGCAGCTCGCTGCAGACGACAAGGACCCGCGTTCGCGGCTCGGCGAGGACCTTCATGACAAAGTCCCACTGGGCGGGGCTCCACACCGGGTTGTCGGGTGTCGGGACGCCGCCTGGGGCCAAGTGGCTGCCGCGCATGTCCAAAAAGAGAAAGGCAATGTGGCGCTCGGTCCAGAGACAAAACTCTTCGCCTCGGTCGACCACGAGAAGCTCGTCGCGCGCCGCCACCGCTTGCAACTGAAGCTACGCCCGGCAAGATGGACAACGAGCATCCGACATATACGTACCGCATCGAGCTCGGCGCGGAGCACCGAGACACGCTGCTCGTACATCTTGGTGGCGGCAAACTCCATCCGGCGCTTCGAGACGGCCATCGTCTGCTCAAGTTCGGCGAGCTCCAGCTGCCGCTGGGCGACTTCGTGCGTCGATCGAAACCCGCCCTCGGCCAGTGCAATGCGCCTCGCCTACCGCGCCGCGTTGCACAAACAATCTTAGGTGTGGCACTTGCCATCTCGGCCGAGAAGGCGGCAAAGTCGTCGTCCCAGAGCTGCCGCTGGTACTCGTGGAACACCCGGCGCGCCGAGCGCAGGAGGATGCGCATGACTTGCATCTACTCGATTCGAGGCGTGCGGTCGACAGTGGAGCGTACGTACGTGGAGCGTGGGTCGTTCGTGGTCCATTTGGAAGACACTAGCGTGCGCAAAGTTGGCGTAGACGTCGCAGTCGCCCCACATCATGACGTTGGACGCGTGCGCGAGGACGTCCCGAACGAATGGGAGGCGCCACTGGAACCGGTACGCGTCGCGGAAGAGCTCGACGACCTTGGCTTCCATAGTCTCCCACGTCCTCGTGCTCGGCAGCGTCGTTGAAAGCGACTGCGCGTGGCGCGTCAAGAGCACGTAGCCTTGCTCAAAGGTTCGCTGGAGCGCGATTTGGCCACCGAGGTGCAGCACATACTGTACAGGAAGTGTCGTCTCGGGCGATGACGCGACGACTCGTTGCTGGACGCGCGCGGCGAGCTGCTGCCAGAGATCGCTCTCGCCCGCCGCAAAGGCGTCCTGGCCGCTCACAACGGCGATTTGCAATGGCGACGTGTCGTCGACGGCGAGCGTATGGAACGTTCCGTGGCATGTCCGCGCGTCGTCTGTGCACAAGCCGCTAAACGCGTAGTAGTAGGTCGTATCGGGCAGCAGCTGCGTCAAGACAAAGACCACGGGCGCGCCGGCGGGTGCGGCGACCGCCACGCGGGCCGAGGGCACCTCGAGGAACTGGCCCGTCCACCGCTCTTGGCGCGTGAGATGGCACGTGATGGTCGTGGCCGTGTTGACCTCGAGTAGAATGCGCGCCTTGTTGGGGCCTACGACGCCAACGACGGGGCCAATGGTGACGCGCACATCTACTCGCACAGTGTCGCCTTTTACGTCAGTGATGCCAAGACGTGCCTAAAGAGCAGTCGAGGACGGCGCCGTGGACGTGGACTTGGTGCGATCGAAGCGGCCGGATGCCCACGGGGTTGGTCGCCGCGAGCACCGACAGCGTGCTCTCGAGCCGGTCGAGCTCGGACGCAAGGCCCCGGCAGCTCTCGGTGTTGCCCATCCTCTGTCGCCTTCGTGTTGCGATCTTGCAGGCGACCAATCGGGACACGCGGCGCTTCATGGGCCAATCAAAAGCGCGGTGTGTGGATCTTGGGTCGCAGAAGGGCAATTTGAGCAAGGATGGCGTTCGCGATCGTTAAGACGGTCCAGGAAGAGATGGCGTGGGTCGCAGACCTGCGCGCGTCGAGCCCCGAGACCGCCGCCATCGTCCTTGCCAACAGCCGCTTGCTCGTCGAGCTCGCGGGGCGCGGGCACGTCCGCGCGATCCTCGACTTGATTGCTAGCGTCGACGACCTCCATGACCAGACGCTGTCGTACTACTACATCAAGATGTTCCAGGCCGCGTGCTTGCACCGGCGCATGGACGTCATGAAGCTCATGGTCGACCACGGCTTCTTCGTGCTGCACCCGTTCCTGCAGGATCTTTTGCACCGCGTCATTCAGGAGGCCCCACATGAAGACGACGCGCTCCAGCCCGTGCTCCGCTTCCTTCTTCACGCGCACCTCGACATCAATCACCAGGTGCGAATCCGCTCCAAATCGACGCTTACAATACTGTCTCTTCGTACGCAGCGCAAGCCCGATCTCTGGACGCCGTTGCACGTGGCGTGCGCCAAAAACTTTGTGGGAATTGCCGCCTTGTTGCTGCTGTACGACGCCGACGTCAACGCCGTCGCACAGGTATCGGTGTCTTAGTTTGCATACGCATCGAGACATGTGCTGCAGGACGACCTCATGCCCCTCAACTGCGCCGAGGCCGTCCTTAATGCCAACGGCGCGCTTGTCGACGACGAGAGGCGCGAGTCGAACGCGCGGCTCGTTGCGCTGCTCGTTGAACACAACGCCAAGCGAACGTGGCGCCGGCCGACGCCGGCCACGACCAAGACAACCGTGTTGAGCTTCTCGTCGTCGCACAACTTGATGGACGACACGCCTGGTCGCCTCTTTGACACATGCGACGACGACGACATCTAAATACGTGGCTACTCTGTCTTCTTCTTCTTCTTGGTGGCGTACTTGGGCTCAAAGAAGGACGGGGTTCCGAGCAGCGCGTCCGGAAGGTAGGTCTGGTCGACCTCGCCCTCGTATCGGGGTTATACTTGTATTCTACGAACCTGTCAGGTATCTAATACAACAACGACGTCGTCAAGAGACCTTTGCCGTAGCCGAGGTCGGCCATGAGGGGCGTCGGGGCGTTGCGGAGATGCAGTGGCACCTCCGGCGTCGGTCCCACAGACTGTAGCAAAAGCTCTTGCACTTTGCGGTACGCCTTGTACGACTCGACCGACTTTGGTGCGCGGGCCAAGTATACGACGCAGTGCGCCAGGTTGATTTCACACTCGGGCATGCCTACGACATACCATCAGCTCTTATTGTTGCCTAATGCGATGATGGCTACCGATCGTATGGCACGCCTGGAACGTCGCATTGGCCAAGGGCAGCGCATGCGCATCGGCGAGGCCAACATCTTCCGAAGCAATCACGATGAGCCGCCGAGCGACATAGAGCGGATTCTCGCCGCCTTGCATCATGCGCGCGAGCCAGTAGAGCGCCGCGTCGGCATCGCTGCCCCGCACCGACTTGTGCATCGCGCTAATGCAGTCGTAGTGCGCGTCGCCTTTCCGATCGTAGAGGGCGTGGGACCGGCGAAAGCCAGCTTTCACGTCCTCTTCTGTGAGCTTGATCGTGTTCGAGTCGCTGGAGGGCCGCTGGCCGTGCACGGCCATCTCGAGCGAGTTGAGCGCAATGCGGGCGTCGCCATTGCACTGATGGGCGAGGTACGCGAGCGCAGCGTCGTCGACGTCGATGGTGGGAGGGGCCTCGGGGTCGCAGCCGTTGGGGACGAGGAGGTTGCTGCGGACGCCGCGCTGCAGCAGTGCTAGGATCGCGGGCGTCGAGATCTTGTTGAGCGTAAAGACGCGGCAGCGCGAGAGGAGCGCCGAGTTGATCTCGAACGACGGGTTCTCCGTCGTCGCGCCAATGAGCGTGATCGTACCGTTCTCGACGCATGGCAAAAACGAGTCTTGCTGCACCTTGGTGAACCGATGGATCTCGTCCACAAAGAGGACCGTCGGCCGGCCCAGCAGCTTGTGCTCGGCCATCGCCTTGTCAAAGACGTCACGGACGGTCGCTACTTTGGCTGTTGTCGCCGAGAGCGCGACAAACTTGGTCGCTGGCTGGACGAGCCGCGCCACCAGCATCGCGAGCGACGTCTTCCCGCACCCGGGCGGGCCCCACAGGATCATATTGGGCACCTTGCCGCTCTCGAGCATGCGCCGCAGCGGCTTGTCTGGACCGAGCAGCTCGTCTTGCCCGAGAATCTCGTCAAGGCCGGTCGGGCGCAGCTTCTCCGCCATCGGAGCGTTCGCGAGCGCGACGAGCTTGGTGCGCTTCGCGGCCGGCTCGGGGTCAGCCTCGGTGGGCCGCTTCGGCGGCGTCGGGGGTCGCGGCGGCGGGCGCTGCAGCTTGGGCGTCCGGGGCGACGGCGCCATGGACCGCGTCAAGCACTCCTCGACATGGGCCTGGATGTTGTGGGCGTAGAAGTGGCGCTCACACACGGGGCAGGCCGCGTCCATTCTCGTGCAAAAGATATCGTGGGCTAAAAACACGCCACGCACACATTCGAGACGCTGGCAATTCGTGTTGGTGCCTGCTAGAGGACAGGATCGCATTCATCGACGCTATTTCGCTCGAGGCCGTTGTCCCACGTGACTCGCTCGCGTGACTGCCTGTTGCAAGCGCGCGACGCGAGACAGCTTCAATCGAGTCAAAGGCGCGTCCGTAACGTCGTGCATTACGACGGGTTCTGCAGACTGCAATGTGCAAAGATCGCTGGCAGCGCCATGTCTCGCACAGTAGAACTTATAGCGATGGCAGTAGCGCATTGCACACTGCCGCAGAGACTATTCGATGGCCATGCTTCCAACGCGCACGCGTTGCCGCGGCTCCGAGGCTGCAGGGTGTCGTCGAGTCGGCGTAAAGCCGCGCTGTGAGTCACCGCAGTTGCGTGCACCTAGTCGACAACAAAAACCTGTCACATTGCATCGTGCCGTCAATTTGATACGCCATAAAACCTCTTAGAGGTGATAGGATATTAATAGTGCGGAGCATCCACCAATGAAACGGTTGGTTGAAGTGGTTGGTGTAGACGCCCCTTTGCGATTGGCCGTTTGCAATTGCTACATAGCGCCATTTCCTGGAACGAACCATGGCCAAGTCGATTCGCTCCAAGATCAAGAAGTACTTCCGTCGTCAGCTCCGCAACACGATCGGGAAGGATGACCTCGAGAAGAAGCAGGCGCTCATCCAGGAGAACCTGAAGAAGACGCTCGAGATCCAGAGCGGCTCGACGCTCGCGTCGCTCAAGCTCGCGATGGGCAGCACGAAGGCGCCGATGGTGGCCGAGGTGCCGGACGAGGCCATGGTCGACACGGAGGGCGCGGCGGAAGCTGAGATCGCCAACGAAACGGCGCTCAAGCAGACGAACCGCAAGGACCATCTCCTCAAGAAGAAGAAAATCGCGGCCAAGGCCAGCAGCAAGAAGAAGAAGTTTGTGCACTTCCACACACTGCGGAAGAAGGGCGCATAAAGCGTCCTCGTCGAGTATTAATATTGGTAATAGTATCTGAACTACATACAAAAACACGCAAACAACTCGTGTTCGCCTGCTGCAGATTCACGGGCCACAGTAGCGTGTCGAACGCCGTATCCAGTCCTCGCCTTCTAAACGCACGCCACCAATCGAAGATAGACACTGCGCGAGACACCATGGGCGTGACTGTCCATCACACTTGATGGCTCGAGTCTTGACTTACATTTTGAGGCACCCATCACAAATTGGATTGCAGAAGCGCTGCCACGACACACCTCTAGAGGGTGGAGGACCGAGAGGATGGAGGACCGAGGGCTAGAGGCGACGGCGTCCTCGTAAAGAAGATGCACAATCGTCAGGACGTGCGTTCAAGGTGCGCAGCCAATCCAAGTTGGCGCTGCTGGCCGCATGGCCAGAGTTACTGCCTCGATTTTACAAAAGCCAGCGCAGAGGCAGCTGGGATTGGATACATTTCTCTGCTTTTGGGGCGATTTCAACATTTTATTATAGGGATACTAACGCGTAGTACTCGTTTCAAGCTCGCAGCAACCTCAAGTTGGCCTGCATTTTCCGCGGAAATTAACGCTTACCGACCTTGGTGAGAGTACACAGCTTGATTTTACCCCGAAATGCTACGCCAGCATTACACATCCCAGGCGGAATAGCGCGGTCGGGTGGCATTAACCAATTCGCTTCGTCCGCCACAGTCCGAAGATGCAGCTCACCGCTTGGATGCTTACGCTGGCCGCCGCCGTCGCCGCCCAGAGCAGCGGCTCGGGCTCGGGCACCGACGCTCCGATCAACGAGGTCACGCTTGCTACCCAGCCCGGTAAATGCAACACGTCCAAGGACTGCAAGACTGGCTTCCAGTGCGTCGCCGTCGAGTCCGATATGACCGGCGTCAAGATGCTCCGGCAGTGCGTCAAGGGCGTGGTGTGCTCGGGTAACGTCGCTGGTGCGTGCCCCAGCTTCTCGAACTGGAAGCCCGAGAACTACCGCCTCGTCGAGCCTGTCTGCGCCTTTGCGCCTGCGCCGAACTGTAACTCGGCCATCAACGCCCAGGGCCAGGTCGTCCAGGTCCGCCGCTCGCTCAAGGAAACCGCGACGGCCAAGCCCGGCAACGTCACGTGCTACCAGATGACGTACCCGTCGGTCGATGGCTCCGACCCTGTCAAGGTCAACGGTATCTACCGCTGCGTCGACAAGAAGATCTATCTGAGCCAGTCGCTTGGCTCGACGTACACGCAGAAGCAGATCACGTCGTGCGCTGGTAACGCGTCGACCTCTGGCGGCGTCTCGGTGAACCTTGGCCTTTGCAACGGCCACGGCTCGTGCGCCCCCACCAACAGCTTCAGCGCCGAGTACAAGTGCATTTGCTCGACGGGCTACTCGATCAACGACAACTGCTTCAACGCCACGGGCAACACGTGCGACACGTACGGCCAGTGCGGTCTTGGCAACTGCGATATCGCCACGGGTCTCTGCAAGTGCCCCGTCGGCTCGATCGGCAACCAGTGCTCGCTCTGCGACCCCACGATGAACAACAAGACGGATGTCACGATGTGCAACGGCAAGGGCTCGTGCGGTATTGACGGCCAGTGCGTGTGCAACTCGGGCTACGCTGGTGCCAACTGCGCCACGAAGGTCAAGGTCAACTCGACGGGCAGCTCGTCGGGCTCGAAGACGGCTGCCCCGTCGGCCGCTGTCGCCACGCACGCCTCGATCGCTCTCCTCGGCGCTGCCACGATTGTCGCCGCCGCCATGCTCTAAGCACTCTTGTATAACAAGCTACGTTCTATTGAACTCACTGGCCTTGCACCCGTGGCCACGTACATTTTAGCAAATATCCAATCTTGCGAGCGAAGGAGCTCGTTAACGACGATATACATCCCCATCCTCTTCCTCTTCCTCTTTCCGTCGCCCATCGCAAAAGTAGCTATCACCCCACAAAATTTCACTCGCGAGCATGGGATGTGCCACGAAGCACCGCCGTCGGGGCAAGGTTGCTTTGCAGCAAGCTTGTACCGCTATCTTTAAGTACCCGAGCTGGCAAGAATCCGACTTGAGAGCGACCGACCAACAGAGAGGTCGGTCGGTTCGTTGGGCCGCCAGCTCTTAACCAACGATGCATTGACCACTTTAGATGTGGCCGGCGTTGGCCAATAGAAAGCACAGTTGGCAGACCAGTACACAAGTGGAGAGCTCCATGAGCAATGCTATTGTGGTGAAGCAGGACGCTAGAGGACCTGTGTAGCTGCAGCGCCGGTCGCCACGGACGTCGAAACCCTACCCCTGGTATCTATGTACTTGTTTGTGGCAATTCCACACGGAGGACTGCGTTGGAATAAAAAAACATCGTGTCCGATACAAATACGAGAGATATAAAATACAAATGTGTAATCAGATCTGTGTTTGAAGGACGCCACGTCTGTTTGTGCGCCAATGAGGCGCAACGAGGGGCTGCCATTTTCCCCGAGACATCGAAGATGCAGCGACTCACCCGCTCGGCTTTGGCGCTCGGCAAGGCGCAGCTCCGCTCCAGCTCCGCGCTCGTCGCCACGGTGCGCCAAGCGACTGCGATGCCCCAAGGCCAGGCCCGCGCCGGCGCTCTCCTTGCGCTGGCAGGCTCGGTCGCGCTCTTCACGACGGCTGCCAGCGAGGCCTCCAAGTGGGACCTCCCCGACAAGTCGCAATGCACGGCCGAGGACTTCTTGTACCCTGCGATCAAGCCGTACAAGACGGGCCGTCTCCAAGTGTCGCCAACGCACAGCATCTACTACGAAGAGTGCGGCAACCCGAAGGGCAAGCCCGTCGTGCTCGTGCACGGTGGCCCTGGCGGTGGCTGCACGCCGACGATGAACCGGTACCACGACCCGAAGGTCTACCGCATCATCGCCTTTGACCAGCGCGGGTCGGGCCGCAGCACGCCCCATGCGTCGCTCGAAGACAACACGTACGCCACCAGTGGCATGGATCGTTAAACTTATTTTGTATGGTTCCTAGGACGTGGCACTTGATCGCTGATATGGAGAAGCTGCGCGAAGAGCTCAAGATTGAAAAGTGGCAGGTGTTCGGCGGCTCGTGGGGCTCGACGCTCTCGACGGCGTACGCCGAGATGCACCCGACGCGCGTCACGGAGCTCGTGCTCCGCGGTATCTTCCACATTCGCGACAAGGAGATCCAGTTCTACTACCAGGTAACACCACGACGAGCATCCTTTCGGCATAGAGCTCATGTATCGATGGTTGCAGTCGGGCGCGAGCTTCATCTACCCCGACCGCTGGGAGGCGTACCGCGATGCGATTCCGGAAGACGAGCGCCACGACTTTCTCTCGGCGTACCACCGCCGGCTCACGAGCCCGGACGAGAAGGTGCGCCTCGCCGCGGCGCTCGCGTGGACGACGTGGGAGATGTCGACGAGCAACCTCAAGCCACCAACGGACGCCGTCGACAAGTCGATGGCCAACGCGCGCTTCGCCGAGGCGTTTGCGCGCATCGAAAACCACTACTTTGTCAACAAGGGCTTCCTTCCGACGCCCAACTTTCTCATCGACAACGTGTACAAGATCCGGCACATCCCGACCGTGATCGTCCAGGGCCGGTACGACGTCGTGTGCCCCATGGAGACAGCGTGGGAATTCCACAAGGCGTTTCCCGAAGCCGAGTTCCACATCGTGCAGACCGCGGGCCACTCGGCGGGCGAGCCGGGCATCGTCGCCGAGCTCGTCAAGGCCACCAACAAGTTCAAGCCGTAGCATCGCGTTTTGAATTCTAGCTTTGTCTATGGCAATACAAACAGCACTTGGTTTTTGCCCGCAAACGGCAAGAACGCACTCTGGATGCGCGCGTCCTTGGCGCGGAGGTACGCAATGAACGCGTCGTAGGTACCCACGACGTCGCCGTTGTGGCGCCGGTCCGGGAACTTGCGGCTCATGACGCAGCAGGGCACGACAGCGAACGGCTTGTTGGCTGCAAGTGCGCAGTCGACGATCGGCTCGGTCGCCTCGTCCGGGTGCATGCCCACAAACACTGAGGTCTCGGTGAAGAAGGCGGCCTCGGCGGTGAGCAGCGCCGGGTCCAAGCACGCTTGGATCTACGCCAGAGGTTATCTCGCAGCGGACAAGAGGTAGGTAGGTACGTGGCGACTCGGCGTCGTCTGTGTCTTGGCAAAGTGCTTGAAATGGACCTTGCGCGGATGGCGCGGCCGCTATGTCCAAAGACAGTACTCGCATGCAACACCATGGAAGAGAGATGGCCTACTGGCTCGATGAGCGTTGTGGGGATTCCGCGCTTGTTGAAGAGCTCAAAGGGGATATCGCCTTTGCCGCCAGCGACGTCGACGACGCCCGCGCCAGCGCTCAGCACGTCGACCCCATACGTCGCAACGAGCCAGTCGCAGAAGATGCGCGCCCGCTGCGCCTTCATGCCCTTCTCGTGCGGGTCGTGGGCGTCGCCGTCGAGCGCCGCCTGCTCGCGCTTCTGCGTGCCACGGCGCGCAAACCACTCGGCCCGCAGCGCCTTGTAGTCCTCGGGCGGTCTAGGCTCGCGTGAGACACTGATGTTGTTGACCTTGGTAGTAAGTACCCGTGCCAGAAGTGGCAGTCGGCGCCGCGCACGCACGACGCGTTGTTGAAGTAGTACTTGCACGCATTGTGGCCTTGGATCTGCACGATGTTGGTGTACTCCTTTCGCTGCCCAAAGCTGTCGGACGGCGCAATGAGGTCGGTCGCGCCGTGCCCAAACGGGACGCCTACCCCAAGCGGAGGATGGCACCGTCGTCGTCGTCGTCGATCTCAGTCGTGTACTGTACCTGGATTCTGGTCTTCCCAGCGCAAATCAACGACGGCCGAGCGCACGACGAGCAAGAGATGCCCTTTCGCCGTCGTCTCGATGCGGCCGTCAAGTGTGACCGTGTCGCCCAAGTGCAGCGCCCAGTTGAGCTGCACAATGTCGTCCTTTGTGAGCCACGCGTCGGCGGCGCGGATCATGAGCTCGAGTAGCGCTATAGTACGCAGAAAGGCCATCGCGATTCATAGCATCCCAGCCAAAATAGTCTCATACATCCATCGGGCAACTTGATGTCGCCAAAGATGAGCGCCTTCCTAAAGTACTCATCTGAGCGCCTGCGGACGCCGACATGGCGTCGGCTTACGAGAAGCGCCGCTTGCGCAAGAGCTGGCCTTGGACGTGCACGAGGTTGCCGACGCTGGCCGCAACGGTCTCGATCGCCACAAGCACCACCATCGCGACGTGTATCCGGATATTCGGCGCTGCGGCAGTGACTGGCGAGAAGCGTTTCACCAAGTACACGAGTCAGTAACGCTCTCGCACGTAACTTGCATTTCAATCTCGCGATCTTTGTGTACTACCAACTTCAAACAGTACTCGGGCCTTGGAGACGCGCTCTACTGACGTCGACTCTGTCCACTGTCCCTCCCTACTACTATTAATAATATACTAGAAGGCTAGTGTATAGCGACGCCATTGTTGCCGGTTCGCTAGCGCGGATGCACACGTCGCGGGCAGGTAGGAAAGGCGTCAATGACAACTGGACTCGACACGATCGAGTCGAGAGAGGGGCGAAGGGAGGACGACTGGGGAGTGACGTAAAGACATTTCGGCAAAATTGTGTGGCGGGGGCACGAAACCCGGCTTTGCCGCCGGAACTTCGGTCTCGCCGCTTCGAATGGCACGGTGTTTGTATGGGGAGTGAGAAGCGAAGTTCGAAGGCGTGAAAAAAGGACGAAGAGAGCGTCGGCCCATCTGGTTTGCGTGGATTATTGGGCGGGCGTCGCAAAAGGCGATTTTAAGAGTCAATTCGCCCGGCATGGAGAAGCCGAGCACGCTCGTGGCGCCGGTCACGCCGTCGACGGGGTACGTCAAGGACGAGGACGGGAAGGCGCCGCTGTACCCGATGCACATCAACCTCAACGTGATCAACAACGCGCCGCCCCGCATCAACACCAACTACCCGCGGCCGGACCCGTTTGGCTTTGAAATGGACATGAACACGCCGTGCGAGAGCCCTGTGTACAGCGACGCGCAGACGCCCGGCGGGTCCATCGACGTCTCCAAGAAGCAGCGCCACAACCTGCGCGAACAGCGGCGAATCTTCCGCATTGGCACGCAGTTTGAACAGCTCAAGAAGAAGCTTGAAGGCGTCGGGTTCGTCTCGTCCAAGAAGGACAAGCACAGCATTCTCCAAGCGACGATCGAATATATTGCCGCGCTCGAGCGCGAAGCCAACGCGGCCGGCATTGGGCCGCCGCCGCCCCCGACGACCGGTGGCAGCTGCAAGGTCGCGACGCCCGCGACGTTGCCCCGCGGCCACTCGAAAGAAAACTCGATGCTGAGCATGAACGCGTCCAACCACTACATGTTCAACGCGATGGCGTCGCCCGTACCGACGCCGATGGCCATGGACTACATGTGGGCGCTGCCGACGGGCGCGCCGCAAGTGCTCCCGGCCGCGCCGCTCGAGACAGTGGACGAGTCGTCCGCGACGTTCAAGAACGTCTTTTTCCAATCCAGCATGCCCGCGCTCATCACCAAGCTCGACGGCACGATCGTGGAGGCGAACCATTTGTTCTTGGAGCTCTCGCAGGCCAAGTACGACGAGCTGCGCCTCCACAGCCTCTACACCATGTGTGCGCCGTCCGACGCGCCCAAGATGCACACGCTCGTCGCCAAGATCCTCAGCTGCGAAGTGAGCTCGGCCCAAGCCAAGATGTCGTGGCGCTTCGGGTCGAGCTCGCTCGAGCGCAAGGTGTTTGTGTCTGTCTCGGTCATCCGCGACGACGCCATGCAGCCCGTGAACGTCCAGTGCTGCATCCTGCCCCTGTCCTAACCGAGCCGACACGACACCGCTTATTTATGAGGAATCTTGGGTCTAGAGCGCATGTTCGTATCACGATATCGTAATATATACTGCACCATGCATCTTCAGACGTCGTCCTCGTCGTCCTCGTCGACGGGATTCTCGGTCGTTCGCTGCGCCTCTTCGTGCAGCGCACGCAGCAGCGTGTGCATCTCGGCCGGTGTATATCGCTGGTTCATCGCGCGATACTTCTTGAGCTGGATGACCCCGATCATCTCCTTGACCATCCACCGGCCGCGGCTCACAGCCTTCTTGATCTCGGCCTCGTCGGCGAGCGCCGCCTTCTTGAAGAAGGCTTCCTTGACCTTGGGCCGGACGTACTCGAGGCCTAGGGGGTAGTCCTTCCCGACGACGAGGAAGCGCTTGTAGAGGTCGCGGACGCGGGGCTGCATGCTCCGGAAGCCGTCGTCGTTCGCCAAGTCGAAGTATGATTTCACACGTTGCATCCATGTGGAAATGTGTGTCCACGTGAAAAATGTGGTTTTCACGCTCAACCGTCGAAGAGCCGGTTGGCGTAGTCGAAGCCCGTTTTGTTAAACCTGCTCTGGCCAATGGGCGCGCGCCGCGGTGGCTCTCTGAGAGTCCAATGGGCGCAGTATACTCAATTGCAGATACTTTACGTTGGTGGTGAGATTCACTCTCTTCGTCAGTCTCCTCACCATGGGCAACCCGACCAAGTTCACGACCGTCCCGATTGAATCGGTCAAGCATGGCATCCTGCGCATCTTCAAGCTCAAGAACATCTCGCGGCCCGAGATCTGGGCCAACGCGAGCCTCGTCGCGCCAGGCAACGCGCCCGAGTGTGCGTCGCGCGACGTCACGCACTTCTACTGCCACCTCTGCGACGACATCTTCAAGCACGACCCGACACGGCTGCAGAACCTGCATCGCCACATGAAGGCCAAGCACCTCTCCAACATCCAGCAGATCCAGCAAGACATGGTGCCCAGCAACGTCGTCATCGTCACCGCCAAGCGCAAGGAGCCGACACCCAACTTTGTGCAGTCGCTCGTCGAGGACCTGCCGCTGCCCGAGCCCAAGCGATCGCGACCGCACATGCTCTCGGCCACGACCTTTCGATCGACCAAGCACGGCGCCTTGTCGCTCTTCAAGGTCAAGCACATCAACCGCCCGGAAATCTGGATGTACGTGAGCCTCGTGGCGCCGACCAACGTCGAGATGAACCCGGCGACGGGCTGGACGTCCCGCGACGCGAGCCACTTTTACTGCCACCTCTGCGACGACTGCTTCCCGCACGACTATGCGCGTTCGCAGAACCTCCACCGGCACGTCAAGAACAAGCACAAGGCCGAGCTCGACGCGTACATGAAGAAGCTGCTCAAGTCCACCGAAGCGCGCGTCGCCGAAAACAAGCCGCCGCCCGCACCCTCTGCCGCGAGCCTCTCGATGGCCAGTGATGACACGCGGCGCTGTGAGCTAGCACTCGCCGAATGGCTCGCGACGTGTCGGCGCCCGTTGGAGCTCGTGGCCGACGAACCGTTCCAGCGCTTCCTCACACTGCTGCAGTCCACGCAAGGCCACTTCTCGCTGCCATCGCGCGCGACGCTCGAGGCCCACATGGACGAGCTCTACGCGGCAAAGCGCAAGGCGATGCACGCGCTCCTCGACGACGAATGCCGGTACTTTAGCCTCTCGGCCAAGACCCATGTGTCGTCGCCGGAGCCACATTTGGTTTGGACGCTGCACTACATCACGCCAAGCTTCGAGTGGCGGCACTTGCTCCTGAGTCACCAGTCGCTGCCATCGGCGTCGCACGAAAGCCATCCAGCGACTGGCTGCTCCAAGCGCTCAACCGTGTCCTCGTCGAGTGGAACCTCTCGTCGTCGAACCTGACAATGATCGTGTCGGACGTCGACTGGCGCCTCTTGCCGCATGTCCCGTCCATGATGTGCATGGGCCAGACGCTCCACGCCGTGCTGTGCCGCCTTCTGTATGGCAAGGACGACGACGATGCGACCGCGCTCCTCGACGACCCGCCTTTTCTACACCTGTCGACCGAGAGCCACGACGAGAGCAGCATTCCTGCGCTCGTGCGGCGCCTCCTCGCGCTCGCGCTAGTTTTCAAGCCACACCCAAGGCCAAGCGGACGCTCGACCACTTTGTCTCGACGCACCGGCGGTTCGATGCGCGGGCGACCGTCAACTGCCCGCGGCAGTGGCAAAAACTGTACAACCTCCTCTCCGAGTGGCAAAGCATGAAGCCCGGCGTCGATCTCTTCTTCTCCGTGGTCGAGACACAGCCCGCGTCGTTCCCGTTTCCATGCACCGTCTCGAACCTCTCCCGGCGCGAGTGGTGCCTCCTCGAAGGTCTCCTCGTGCTCCTCGAGCCATGCCTCGAAGTGATGCACGCCGTGTTCAGCCAAGCATCGACCAACTCGCTCGCCGTCATGCTCTCGATCCTGCAGCTCTTTGCCAAGGACGTGGCGACGCCCCGCTTCTTCCACTTGCGTGGGTTTACCTCGCTCGACGAGGAGCCCGCCGTCTTGTATGAGCTCAACGCTGCCCGGCATATGCTCCAAACGCTTCTGTTTGGCTTCCTCGACGACCACCCGGCCATGTGGACGTGTCCGCTGCACCCGAGCATTGCAGCGACGCTTGCGCACTGCACGGACGAAGAGAAGGCCCAAGTCAAGCACCGGCTCGCGACCGAGTGCGCCGACGTCGCGTCCGAGAAGCAGCCGCCAAAGAAGAAGACGGCGACGACGCGGAGCCTCAAGTACCTCCAGCAGGTCATGGGCGCGACGCGCGACGAGATCCTCGACTCGATGGGCATCGACACGCTCTCGGTCGAGGACGAGCTCCAAATGTACTTTGCGACCGTTGTGCCCGGCATTGAAGACACGCTGGGATGGTGGAAGACTCACCATAGCATGTTTCCGCGGCTCGCCGGCCTCGCGCGCAAGTGGCTATGTACGACCGCGACCGCCTTTCACAAGTCGCAGGACGAGACGATCGACGAGGCACCGCGACTGGGCGACGTGGCGGCGCGCATGGCCTTTCTCGCCGACAACAGCGCGCCCGACGCCGACGTGGCCTTTGTCTAAGACCTGATAGTAGAAATGCAGTAGTATCGTGTGCCATCGCGTGGTATCGCTAGTAGACGACGCGGGCAATCGCGGCGCCGACCCACGCCGAGCCAAAGGCGAAGAGCCATCGGCGGTGGCCGACCTGCGCCGGCGGCGTCTTGGCGAGTTCGTGGAACGAGTACGTGGCGACCGCGAGACACGTCATCGTGCCCGTGACGCGGCATCTACGTCATCGCCATGTGGCCACGCAGCGAGCAGTCGCATCACTTCGCCCGTACTCGAGGCAGTCGGTTGGTCGGCTGCTGCGCTTGTTGTCCTCGTCCAGCATCGGTTGAAAATTTGCCATGAAATTTCGCTCGAAGTTCGAAGCCCGTGGTATTATTAGCTAATGTGGGGTGAAATTTTGAGTATTTAGTTTCAGAGGCAAAGTAACGGGCTTCACATAGAAAACGTGAGAGAGCCCGCGCGCTTTTGCCGCACGGAGCTTCGAAGTATGTATTTATACAGGTCCATGTCGCCCGACCTTGCCGCGCCCAAGTGCAAATTAGCGCGCATGGTGGACCTCCGCCCGGCCGAGAAGCATGAGATCGAGTGGGACATCGTCGGTAGGTAGACGATGGCATGGATCTCAATGGCTCAAGGAGACGACGTCTAGCGCGCGAGCTCGAGAGCCCGCTCCGGAGCTTCCACGACGACTTTGTCCAGGCGCTGCAACCCTCCTTTGTCGAGTTCTCGGCCAAGCGCAGCATGTTGCACGCGGACCAGCTCCATCTCTTCTTGGCGCGCCACTTTAGCGGCCTCCAGACCAACAAGGAGTACACACGCCACGTGCTCGAGACCATACAGGACATGCGCATGGAGCCGCCCGTGCACATGACGTACGAGTCGGACCCACCAGTCTCGCACCAGTACATTACCTTTATGGAGCTCAAGGCGACGCTGCTACTGCCGACGATGATTGCGCAGCGCCTCGACGCATGCGACCCGTATGCGCTCGAGGCGAGCGTGCAGATCCCGCTGCCACCGGCGCGGGCGAGCGCGCCACCGCGCGTCGCGCTGCCCAGTGCCAAGAACGAGTGGCATGAGTTTCAGTTTGAGATTCAACGATCCAACGAGTTTCACATGGACGTGAGCAAGCGGTCGCGGCAGTGGCTCGGTGGCTCGCAGCGGCCACGCATCCTCGTGCTCAAGGATGGCGTCCTCGACATTTTTAAAAAGGCCGACAAGACGAAGCCCAAGCCCAAGGCGAGCAAGTCCATTGCACTCGACCACGTCGACGCGCTCAGCACCGGCAGCGGCCACACGTTCATCGTGCGCACAAAGGACGGACGCAACCTCACGCTCGCATGCCACTCGGCCGACGCCCTCTCGCACTGCGTACTACGCCTTTGCCTCCAAGCCCGTTGGCCTGATGTAGTCGTATGACTAGGTGGCCGAGATTGCCACCCACTGTCTCTTCCAAGCCCTCGATACGGGGCAGTCGCCGACCGAGCTCGGAAAATTTGTGACGGCGGGCGCGCGCCTCAACGACGCCATGCGGCTCCTGCCGTCGCTGCAGAAGACGGGCCTTCTCTCGTTTCCCGTCGTGCCGCTCTGCGCAGCGTTTGTGCTGGATGGTCTCGACAAGAAGAGTCGGCCCGAGACGCGCGTCGCGGTGCTTCTCAAGGCCGGCGCGCGCCCCGATGCGCTCTTACGCTGGGCGTTTGCCTCGCATTTTTTTCTCCGCAAGACGCCGGTGAGCATGAACGTGCTCGATTTTTTTCTGCGGCACAAGCTGCCGCTTTGGACCGCCGGCGACGACCCGGCGCACTGGTCGCTCCTCCAGTACCTCTGTCTCGTCCGTGACGTGGCGAGCGTGGAGCGCTTTGTGCGACATGTGTCGTCCGCCGACTTGGCGCGCGCATTGCAGCACGTGAACGCGGCCGGTGACACGGTGCTGCACGTCGCTGTCAAGCGGATTCACGAGCAAGATAAAGACGACGACGCAGAGCGGATCGCTTGTCTTTTGCTCAAGGCCGTCGCCAAGCACAAGACGACGGAGTATCTGTGGCTCGACCAGGACGATGCGGGCGGCGAGTCGCTTCTGCACATGGCGCTCCAAGCCCGCATGTGGAAGCTCGTGGACATTCTCTTGGCGCTGGTGTCGTCGTCGCACGGCTGCAGCGTACGAGGCGTCTTGCGCGTCATCTGCTCATCGGTATGTAGGGCTTTTCGGTGCTCCACTTAGCGATTCGGCTCGACGCGCCCATCAAGATTCTCTCGCGCCTCATCCAGCTCTGCAAGACGAAGCGCAACAGCAGCAAGAAAAAGGACGTCGACGGCCTTGAGCTGCGCGACGACGACGGCGCCGATACGCCGCTCACGCTCGCCATCAAGTGCCGCAACGAAGCGGTCGTCGAAGAGCTCTTGGCGGCCGGAGCCCAACCCGACGCCTCTAGCGACTGGGGCGCGACGCTGGTCGGTTCGCCCGTGACGCCCACGGACACGCCGCTGCACGTTGCGATCAAAACGGGGTTGCCGGCCGCCGCGCGAGCTCTCGTGCTCCACGGTGCGTCGTGGTTTACGCTCGATGGCTTCGGGTCGTCGCCGCTCTCGCTCGCGCTGCGCTACGGTATGTACGGGCTCGTGTACGAGCTCCTCCACGTTGTCTCGGGCGATACGGGCGAGCTCGAGTGGACCGACCGCCACGTCGGCGACAGCGTCGTCGGTCTCGCGCTCAAGGCCGGGCAGCTCGAGCTCGCGTGTCTGCTGTTGGACCTCTCGCCAGCAGTCGTGCACGTGCAGCACCTTCGGACAAAGGAGTCGCCGCTGCATTATGCCATGAAGATCCGCGTCTGGCTCGAGTACCTCGAGCCCAAGTCGCAGAAGTACAAGAAGACACGCCAAGCACGCGTGAAGTCCAAGAGCGATGGCGACCTCTCGACGCTGCTCACCGGCGACTGGGCCGCGCCGTCGTACGATCTCCAGAGTCACTTTTTTGTCCAGCGTGCGCTCGAAGGCCTCCTTCTCGGGCTGCTCAAGCGCGTGCCGCCGAGCCTCTGCGTCCTGCGTACCGAGCGAGGTGCGCGTGTGTTGATGTATCATCACCTAAGAGCTTCATTGGCCATAGATCCCATGGCGCCATGCGAGCCCATCTTTCACTTGTTCAACAGCGACGACTGCATCACCGACCATCAAGTCGACGCGTTCACGCCGCTGCACGCGGCCGCGCGCGGCGGCGCCTCGACCAACCACATTCTGCGCTGGCTGCTCTTGCACCTCAAGCACTGTCGCGTCCGTGACACGCTCGGCGTCACGATTGGATTCGACGAGACGCCGCTGCACGTGGCGATCGAAGCCGGCGCGGTCGAGAACGCGCTCGACTTGCTGCGCGTGCTCGGCAGCGCGATCGAAGACGATGGCGCCGTCATCGTCCGGGATGCTGTGCGCCGCGACCAAGCGTCCGCCTTGCACCTCGCCTGCCAGTCGCCGGAGGCCAACGCCGCTGTGATTGCAGAACTGCTTCAGCAAGGCGCGTACGCCGAAGGCTGGGACGAGCTCGGTGACGCGCCGCTCCATGTGGCCGTCGCCCACGGCGCGTCGGCGATGGTCGTGCAGACGATGGCGCGGCTCGGCGTGGATATCAACGCGCGCACCGAGGACGGGCGCACGCCGCTCATGGTGGCTCTCTGCGCCAACAACGAGAGCGCGTTCGACGCGCTCGTGCAGCTCGGCGCCAACACACGCGCGCGTGTGCCCGGCACGCGCCACGGCCTCGCCGAGCTAGGGGCGGCCATGGACGCGCTGAGCCCGGCGATCGCGCACGCGATTCTTGACGACGTCAAGGGCTACGCGCGCGCCGACGTGCTCCAGCAGATTGCGGACGCGAGCGACTGCTTTGCGTCCGACCAAGTGCTTGGCGACGTGATGCGGCCGACGTACCGCACCCAAGGCAGCATTGGCTCCAAGAACGAGTTTAGCATCACGCGCTTGTCGCTGACGGCGGAATCGGCGCCGCCCCTGCCGCTCTCGTCGTCGAGCAAGACGGCGCTGCCCCTTAAAAAGTGGATCGAAAACACCGCGCGATCGCCGGACGAGCTCCCCGAGGCGGTCAATGCCAATGCCAAGGTCGTCAAGAAGGAGCAGCTGTGGTGGCTGCGCCTCAAAGACGAGGAAAAGTCGACGCTGCAGCTGGTGGCGAACGAAGCCAAGCTCGCAGCGCGCGAGTGGCTCCAGAAGCGCATTGGCAAGAAGAAGATGCTCTCGGACTCGCTCGTGCTCTGTCAACAGTACTACGCGGAGAAGGGCATCGACCTCGACCCGATCCTCGCACGCAAGGAAGCCGAGAAGGTACGCATCCTAACTACCCTCGACACTCGTGCTGGATGATGCGTTAGAACTTTGTCGACCGGCACGTGGCCGAGGCTGTCTCGGACGCCCGCATGGAAATTGAGCGCGAGAAGCAGATGATCGCGCACGAAGCCACGCGCCGCGTCGCCAAAGACCCGCTCTCCACCACGAGCGCGGTGAGCTTTGCGGCCACATCGACCACGTCGAGCTTCCTCGTCGAGAGCTTCCTCCTCGAGAACCTCGAGACGGACGACGAGGTCGACGACGACGTGGCCATCTACTCGGATGTCTTCGAGTGGAACCTCGACGCACGCAATACGCTCTGCTAGCCCCTCTTATATATATCTTATTTAATGCGATGGCACCAACTCCTTCATACAGGCTTAAGTGCATTAAATTCCTCTTACGCGACAAAGGCCGACGGCATGTCACCGACGCCGCCAGCGTGTTCGTGGACGGCCTGCGCCACCTTGAGCGCAAGCGCGTCCGCGCCGTCCTGCGTCGCCGCTTCGGCGTAGACACGCACCGCGTCCTCGGTGCCCGACGGCCGCACAAAGGCGCGGGCACTCGGGCCCGCGGCGGCCACGAGGCCCGAGACGGCGTCCTTGAGCGCCTCGGGCGCCGTCGCCTGCGTCTCGTCTTCGGTGCACTTGACGATCGTGCGGTCCGCGATCTTGACCTTGGTCTGGCGGCTCGGGAGGTCGGCGTAGATGCCATCCCACTGCGTAATCGACCAGTCGCGCTGGATCAAAAGCACTTCGGTGAAG